TTCTATTTGTAGTATCCTTATCTAAAATAGATTCCCAATTAGAATCGGTTTGAATTGACGGGTCAGTAAGAATATTATTACATCCTTGTAAGTCCATAATTACTAAAAGACCTTCGCTAACATCAAGTGAGAAATGACTAAAAGCCGATAAATAACACTTCTAATTATCTTAAAGAAACTAATTATTTTTATATTTTTGAAATAAGTATTAGATTTTTATGTAGGTTTCACCATAAATTTATTTCATTCCATAAAATGGAGTATCTAGAGAATACAAAATTGGGTGGGCATAAAAGAGAGGTTACATTTCATTTAATAAACCATTTTACTTTAGTCTCTAATTAAAGAAATATGCCATTTAGCAAGCGTATGCAGAAGAGTAAAATCTAATTTTTGCTTAGTCTTCAGCTTGCGTTATTTCTTAATCATTGGCATTCTTCTGATTGTCAACTAATTTTTTTGGAATTTTGAGGATTACTTCTCTATTATTGATAGCATCAAAGGCCATAAAAATATAAGTTGAGGAAGAGTTGTTATCTTTATTCAGTTCGGTATATTATTTTGTTATTTTTAAACTTGTGGTGCCTTTTCTTGTGCTCTCCTCAACCATTTTATGATAAATTTCCCAATATTCCTTATTTGAATTTTAATTTAGTGTATCTAGTTTAAGTTTCTGAAAATCTGCCTTAACATATTAAAAATTGTTCTTTATAATTGAAGATTATTTTTTTGATGTTTCTGACACTGAGTGCAGCAATGTAAATCTAACTAATTCGGATAAGTCTTATGGCTATTTTTCAGTAGTTATAGTTAACAAAGGAATAACAGTTTTCATTTTCTCATACATAATATCTGTCAGGTTATTAATTTTTACACAACAAATAAAGTTATTCTACTTGATATTTTTATATTTTTCCAATATCTGCTCAAAATAATTCTTTGGCATTTCATCAATCAAAGTATCAGATTCAATATTATGATAATCTCTTCCATGACAAGGAGCATCTGCAAATAAAAATGTACATAGTATGCTATCTGGATGATGAGAAAAATTAAGTTTTAATGCCTGTTCAAATCCGGCTGCTACATCCTCAGCCACATCTCCTCCTCCTTTTGTCTCTAGTTTGTATATGAAATTCTTAATTTCATCAATCTTTTTAGTGAAATGATAATAAATTATCTAATCCTAATTATCACAAATATCTCTGTATCCTACAAATGCAACTCTAACTTGATATCCATTCACTGAATTATTAAATTAATTTATTATTTTATCTATTGTGTTTTGCATTTGTTCCTTCCAAGGTTTCATAGAGCCAGTCAAATCCATAATAAAAACTACATCAATGATATTTAAATCTTAGACCTATTTCTTATAATATTCAAACTCAGATTTTTCACAGAATAGTTACACATTATGGTTATCAGGAAGCTTATTTAGTTTTGCTTTTCGTTCTTATCTAATTTTTATACAAGACTCTACAGCATTCTTTTAATTGATCTTAGAGGGAATTTTTTCCCAATCGATATGATCTTTTAAACATTTCTTTTTAGGACATAACCCTTATATATAAGGAATACAATAATCATTTAAAAATGCAGGATGTTGGTTGCAATTGCACCTTTCCTTACCACATATTATCTCTGGATTGGTAACTTTATTTAAGATTAATCTAATGCTTGTTCTCTTAATTGTTCCCAACTTTTGTGATTTAAATTGCAATTCTATCTATTTGGGCAAACACTTAGTAGATTATCAAGACAAATTTTCCCAGCCCAACTCCTATGTAGTAACATACAGCCATTCTGATTACAATTATATGGACATAAATTATGAGGAAAGACACCATTGATAGTTTTTTTTTATACTTAATCCTTAAATTTCTTCCCTTTAAAGTGCTATAATTTAAAATCCTAACATTTTTGTTTATTCCCCTCATTCTTATTATAAAATTATTACTCATCTCTTAAATATTTTATACAAACCCCAATAAAAGTCTAGCGTGATTTAATTAACATTCATTATCTGTGCAAAATATAGAATTTATACAGATTTTCTCAAAATCGAATGCGTCTAAATTCATTTTTGAATAATTACTAATAAATTGTGATAATAATAACATTTCAACAACACATAATTCTATTAACTTTAAGAATACTATATATTGATTTGCACTTTTTTTTAGTTCAACATGATATATTTGAAATCTAATATTAAAATCTTGACGAGGATTTATAATTTGTGCAATAATCGATATAAAATGATATGATTTAAATAAATCATATAATATCATCATCGGCAGTATAATAATAGATGTGACACATTTAAAAATAAGGAACAACTAAAATTTACTACATAAAAGGTTGCTTGTGTTAAAATCTTAATTAAATGATCTTAAGATTAATTCAAATTCAAGAGTTCTTCCTACCGCCCTGTTTAGGTCTATTGGTATATGTTAATTTAATTTAATCAGCTATCTACAATAAAGTGGTAAATAATATTAATCAAGAATTTTACAAATAATATAATTAATTACTTACCTTAGATATATAACTTCTTAATAAAAATTGTCATGTTAATAATTGAAACCAGTTAAAGAGTACATCTTACTTTAATATTCATTAGGATTGCCACTATAATTTAATTCCAACTTATCTTAGCTTGTTATAAAAAAACCATATAAATAGTTAGCTAATATTCTTTCCTTTTCAAAGGATGAATTCTTAAAATCCAAACTTTAATAAATGATTCTGACTTCTACTAATTACGCTAAGATTTTTGATCAGAAAATTAATTTAATAAATAAATATTATTGAAAGGGTGTAAATTGATTTTTAAGTACTTATAAATTTTACTTTGTAAATTAGATCAATTGAATTCTATTAAAAAAATCATCCTTTCATATTTATATAAATTAATCAGGAATACGAAAAATCCTAATATTTAGAATTGAGCCTTTTATTCTACTCTTCCTTACTAAATGATATGAAAATATTATTCTGAATAATGGGTATTTTCCTCTTTAATTTTCTTAAACAACCTAAAAAAATTTCCTTATTAACTATTAAAATCCATCCAATAATTGACAGGGCATCGGTCATAATTCCAAATAATTATCATAAATAAATTAATAAAAAAACCT